TCGACTATCTAAAATCTGACATCAGACAAATTATCCTATAATTCACTATCTTCAATCAGTTCTAGCAAAGAATAAATTGTATTTAATCTTTATAAATGTTTGGATTATATTTTGAAAAGAACGTCTCATATATTTGAAACGGAAATGATATTGAGTCATGATGACGAATTAGATGATCATGAGTTAGAAGATCTATTACAACTAGTATCCACATATCACCATGTTGGTGGATATAGTGTAGATGTCGGAGGGTGAATGTTTCTCTTGGAAGTTGATTTGGATCTATTTCAGAATGTTAAAGACTTTTGCTTCACATTTCAAACAAATGTATGTCATGAAAAAGTTGTACTGATGGGTCAATGATTCGTTGATCTTGGTACAACTAGAAATGTGGTTCACTCATTTTTCCGAACTGTCATTATCATTAGATTGATCAATTACTTTCTTGATCTTCTGTTTCATTCGCATTTCCTGTATCATTTTGATTTTCTTATTAAATAAAAAAGTTAGCTAAAGTTCTTCTATTTTTATACGACAAGAAACGATACGTAAGATGAGTTTATAAAAAACTAGCTCTTGAAAAAATTACTTTATTGAGATATGGACAATAGGACAAATCCTTTTGGAGTTTTTTTCTACTCTGTGAGATCTACTAGGGAGAGAACTATGAGGTCAAATAGAGGATATTTAGAAATATGATATTTCAGTGAGGAAATATTGGTCAGTTTGATTTTTGTCTCAAAGAAAGCCAATTTTATGAAAACAACAATTTTGTATAAACTTTGATCATACGTCTTGAGAGTCGAGGAATCCACAGGAGAGGCGCAGAAAGAAGACAAAGCGGTTGATTTCGGAACTCTCAAAAGAAGTACATATTTCGATGCAGAATAAGACAACAAATCATTTGATATCACGTTCAAACTATTTGAGAAATAATCTAATGCCTTCTGACGCAGAGTGCTATACCATATTTTTACTGCATCCAGGTGGTTGTATACTAACAATAAGTTTGTCAAAGCATCTAATAGTAAATATAAGCTCAATTTATGGTGAACTAATAGTGTTTCTATCAATATTTCAGGTATGTCATGAGGGTTTAGGTGTCTCAATTGCTTTCGAAGTGGCTTTTACGATGGAGTGATGCAGTTTTTGAATGATTGCACGTTAATGTAGTTTTTTTTCTGGAATTGATCTACGATGATTAGTGGAGTTTTGTCATCTGTATATTTATGATATCCACAAGAAAATTGTGTCGATGTGTAGTCTGTCAAAAACTGCATCAAACTCTTAAGAGAAATACTATTAGTTCATTATAAATTCATCTTATGTTTCCTACTTCTGGATGATTCATATCAAAATTTGTGCAGAATTTGCTACTCTTTCAAATGAAACTATTTATGGGCAGATGAACAAATGTTTTGGCAAACTTATTGTTAGTATATGGCCATCTAAATGCAGTAAAAATGTGGTATAGTAATCTGCATCAGAAGCCATCGAATCGCTTCCTAAATAGTTTGAATGTAGCATCAAACGATTCGTCGTCTCATTCTGCATTGAAATATATACTCGTTTTGAAAATTCTGAGATGAGTCGATTTGTCTTCTTATATGTCCCCCTCCTTCATCGATAACTTCTCGAAATGTGTAGCCTTAAGATTTGCACTCTGGAGAGACTATTTCTTGAAAATAACGATACTAGTAACTGTGAGCAACCATGAATGGATTTGAACTCTTCGCCCCTCGAAATCATTTGATCAAACTTCAAACACATGGTTGTTTTCGTAAAATAAGCTTTCTTGGAGTGGAAAATTAAACGGACATAAGATTTTCCTTTATTCAATAAGATAACTTGTCAGTAGCGGTAATTTGTCTTCTTAGTCCTCTGATTAAATACAAAGTGTTTATTAATTACTGGCAAATATTACTTACCACTTACTGTTACATAATAATCGATACCACCAAATATTTATCTAACCAGTGATAAGTGATAAAGATTATGATGCAACAATAAATAACCCATGATTATGCTAAGCATATATGACTGCTATATAGGAGATTTTTCAATCATAAAAACATTTACTATTACTTTGGTAAGTGGAAGTCTAAATAATAATGAACGTGACACTTCCAAGGATATTAGTTGATGAATTTTCTCCGTTAATGGTTTTTTTTGTAAGTTATACCTGTTATATTCATATCTCGTAGTAGACCACCGTGTACTAGAAAGTTAGATGATGATATTTCGGCTTAATATTTTCCTCCCGTATATCTCCCATAATTATCAGAATATCATGAATGTTCCAGTGTTAATCCTTCGAACTTGATCATCTGAAGAAGGCATACCTTTTTCGTTGAAACTTTCACAATATACTGGCAACTGCATAGCTGTGATGATTTAGGTCTAGTAATAAATGAATCCAAGGATAATAAACGAGAATGTTGGAATGATCTCGTCGTTTAGAAAAATAGAAATCATCATATAGCTATAGAGGTCATATTATAACAAATGCAGTACGATCAGACAATAGGAAATCACAGGTCCACATAAGCAATATCGAAAATGACTAATCGCTCAATTCGTCAAGCAAATGCCATAATTAAAACTCTGTTGAACTATTCGTTGTATATTCCCAGATACAAGCAAAAAGCCTACCCTATCCTGACTGTTACTGTGAATTATCGATGCAAAACATTTCGAAATGCTTTAGAATTTTTGCCATTACGGGATATTTGTGCCCGATGGCATGTCATAGAAGAACCGGTAAGATAGAGATGATAGTGGTTTTAGTCATATAGTTAGGATCAGTCTATAATCCTTACTTAAATTATATTAGTTGTGATGTCTACTGTTTAACAGTTACTATACGCTTCGTGAACGAATTGTCAAGGAAATGAAAGAGAGCGTACAATGATTAATCTGAATGATGAGTTTCTTGAGATTCAACGAGGTTCTGTTGAAAAATACTGGTTTACATCTCGATTTGATTGCTATCATCCGACAAATTTCAATAGAATATCATCGAAATTATGGAAATTTGATATAATCTACTAGGGATAGTTCAACCATAATAGCTGATCAGTCTCTATTTCTTTATTCTTGTGTTACTTAGTTCCAAAATGTGAACTTAATTTTAAAGCAACGACCCGAAATCCAATTGACTATAAGTATGATCCGCGATCTGTCGCCATGGGCGACTTTAACAACGACACTTGGTTAGATATTGTCGTTACCAATTATGCTGCTGACAATATAGCTATATATTTCGGATATGGCAATGGCACTGTAGCAAGCCCAGTCCAATATTCCACCGGTTCTGGCTCTGCTCCGTGCATGGCCGCTGTTGGTGATTTCGATAACGATAGTCGACTGGATGTTGCCATCGCAAATTTCGGTACAAACAGCATTGGTGTACTTCTAAAATTCCAAGATAGGTCTTTTGCAAGTCAAACAATGCTTTCAGTTGCATCATCTCGTCCCATTTGGATCCATGTAGCAGATCTCAACAACGATGCAGCACTAGATATTGTCACTGCTAACTACGGCACACACAGTGTAAGCATATTTTTCGGATATGGAAATGGCAGCTTTTCAAGACCGAGCACGTATCCTACGGGTTATGACTCTTTTCCATTTGCGGTTGTCAGTGGCGATTTTAACAACGACAAACAGATGGATCTTGCTATCGCCAATTATGGCACCAGCAACGTCGGTATAATGTTTGGAACTGGTAACAACACTTTTGCAAATCAAATCACGTTTTCAACTGGTCCTAATTCCCATCCATACTCGATTGCTGTTGGTCATTTAAACGACGACACTATGCTAGATATTGCTGTCACCAACTATGGAAATAACAGTGTAGGTATACTTCTGGGTCACGGTAATGGGACTTTTATGAGTCAAACGACATATTCCATCAGTACTGCTTCACCATATTCTATTGGCATTGATGACTTCAACAACGACAATCGAATGGATTTAGTCGTGACCAATAACGATAGTGATAATATAGCTCTATTTGTCGGATATGGCAACGGCACCTTTGCAAGTCCAAAAATGTATTCAACTGGATCTTCTTCATCAATTTCCATTGCCATAGGTGATTTAAACAGAGATAATCGTTCAGACATTGTCGTCATCAACAATGATACGAACACCATAAGTATCATGCTTGGTTATGACGAATTTTTTCCAATTCAAATGACATATTCAATTGGCGGTGCGTCAATATCTGTAGCTATTGGTGATTTTAATAACGACATCAAACTGGATATCGTCGTCGTTAATGAACAGGGAAACAGTATAACTGTATTTCTCGGATATGGAAATGGCTCATTTGTAAATCAAATGACATATCCAGTTGGCAACATACCATGGTATGTAGCTGTTGGCGACTTTAACAATGACACACATCTGGATATCGTCGCCACTAATTCGAAAGACAACACTATGAGTATCCTTCTCGGATATGGTAATGGCTCATTTGCTAATCAAACGACATATTCAACTGGCTCTGGACCATACTTTGTAACTGTTGGTGACTTCAATAATGACACCCATCTGGATATCGTCGTCACTAATTGGAATGACAATACTACAAGTGTACTTCTCGGATATGGCAATGGTTCTTTTGCAAATCAAACGACATATTCAACTGGTTTCAAGTCACAGGGTGTAGCTGTCAGTGATTTTAACAACGACACTTATCTGGATATTGTCGTCGCTAATTGGGGTGACAATACTATAAGTGTACTTCTCGGATATGGCAATGGTTCCTTTGCAAATCAAACGACATATTCAACTGGTTCTGCACCATACTCTGTAGCTGTTAATGATTTTAACAATGACACCCATCTGGATATCGTCGTCCCTAATTCGGATGATAACACTATAAGTGTACTTCTCGGATATGGCAATGGTTCTTTTGCAAATCAAACGACATATTCAACTGGCTTCAATCCACTGTCTCTAGCTGTCAGTGATTTTAACAACGACACTTATCTGGATATCGTCACTGCTAATTTTGGTGACAACACTGTTAGTGTCCTTCTCGGATATGGCAATGGCTCTTTTGCAAATCAAATGATATATTCAACTGGCTCTGGGCCACAGTCTCTAGCTGTTGGTGACTTTAACAACGACACCCGACCGGATATTGTCGTTGCTAATTCCAATGACGCCAATGTATGTGTACTACTTCGGTATGATAGAGGAGCTCTGAAAGAAAAAATCACATTTGCATCTGCCAATGATTC